GGGGCCTGAACCCATTCCACTGTGGACCAGACTGGACTGAACTGGCCTCCAAGGAACTGGTTTGAACTGGGATGGAGTTCAGGATCATGCTTCTTTCCCATCTTTACTGTCCAACCCAGGCTTCGTTGTGCCTCCAGGTACACCGGGCTCCCTCCTACTCCCCCCTCCCTGAACCCAGAGAAATTCCACAAATGCAGGCTCCCCCTCAGAGCACATGCAGTTTCCCCAGCATGTCCTTCCACCCTCCTTCCAAACTGGGGAACCCCTGGAATCAAACTGGGCCCCAGACTCAGAAGCTGAGCAGAGGCCTCCCATGCTGCAGGCTTGGGAGGCACAGGGGAGTCTTGCTTCTGCTCCTCACCGTGCACGACCTTAAGGACAGCTGCATCCCTCTCTGGGCCTCAGCTCCCTGATCTATAAAAGGAAGGGAGCGGACAGTCGGCTGTTTTCAAGCAGGGCTCCCAGAGCATGAGAGGTTCGGTGGAAATGCCTCCAGGACCAGGACCCCTGTAGCACGGAAAGGGCCTGGAGTCCTTCACCCCCCACTTCAAACAGAGAAGACCCACTTGGCAGTTGTGTACAATGGGTCCACACATGGTTTCATTTGAACAAAAGAGGCTGCTGCTATAAAGACCTTGGAAATTACTGGCCTGGGCAAGCACCGATGTTCCTTCTGGTTTACGATGCCTCATGAAAATGCCTCGGGGAATCGCGTTAGACCAGCGTCAAAATACCTCCTTGTCCATTCATTCGTGTATTCATTCATTCATTTGTTCATTCATCAAAGAGTTTAAAGAACATTGAGGACCTACTGCTGCCAAGCAAATGATCTCTGATGGCCCAGGGTCTTGTTGCCTCAGTTTCCCCCATGTGCTTTCTATGCCAATGCTGGCGTGGTGACACAGTTCAGGGCTGGTACCTCATGGAGGTGCCCTGGACAGTCCTGTGAGGGGAGCCACACTCCACGTGGTCCTGCCAGGGTCCTGACAAAGCCCCGAGTTCCCCGTGCTGGCTCCCCTCATGCCTCCTCTCAGCACCCTGGCCGCCTCGCTGGGCCCAGTCCACCCCGCTGGTGCTATACCAAGAGGAAGCTGTTTTGCCAAAACAAGACACTTAAGCTAAGTGTCTATTGTTACATCAGCCGGCCTTCCTGCCCAGCACCCCAGCCTGGAGCCCCATACACACACTCCCACACATTCTCGTTCACATATGCCAAGTCACAGGGACAATTCAGGGGGAGGCAGGGCGGGATGGGCCAAGTGGAAGGTTGCCCAGCACCAATGACAACATGGACCAGAGAGGTCTCATGCTAGGGCAGCGTGCCTGGAGGGCCAAAGGGCAGGTGCCAAGGGTCTTGAGGGAGCCTGTGCTATGGGGTCAATGGTACAGTGACCTGAGCCTATCGGTGTGCCATCTTAGGAACATGCCTTCCCCCTGAACCCACCCTGGGACCACCAGCCACTCTCAAGTCCACGACATCTGTGGTCTTGGACTGATTGAGAACCTGCTCTATTATAAGAAGACCCAGTCTACAGTGGATTGCTTCTTTAGCAGTGGGTCTACTCAGTCTTTCTTTAATAAACATGACACTGCTGTAAGCATTAAAAGTGTGATACCTCTTGAAAAAAACACAAAACACACACTATCGTTAAAGAGCAAATGCACATATCCAAAGTGGCGCACCTGTAATCCCATTCCATACAATTCCAAAGACTGTCATGGAACCAGAAAGGGGCCTGGGGGTAGGGGGGGAGCAATTTGTTCAACCCTCGTCTTTGGTAGGTGGAAAAACTGAGACATGGAGAGATTTGTCCACATTGTTAGAGGAATCAGGACTAGATCCTAGATGATGATGATAGGGGGAGGAGGGTAATCTGAACACTCTATGCCAGATGCTATTTAAAAAGGGCCTTACAATCAGGAAAATCCAAATCAAAACCTCAATGAGATACCACCTCACACCAGTCAGAATGGCTAAAATTAGCAAGTCAGGAAACGACAGATGTTGGTGGGGATGTGGAGAAAGGGGAACCCTCCTACACTGTTGGTGGGAATGCAAGCCGGTGCAACCACTCTGGAAAACAGTATGGAGGTTCCTCAAACAGCTGAAAATAGAGCTACCCTACAATCCAGCAATTGCACTACTGGGTATTTACCACAAAGATACAAATGTAGGGATCCAAAGGGGTACGTGCACCCCAATGTGTATAGCAGCGATGTCCACAATAGCCAAACTGCAGAAAGAGCCAAGATGTCCATCGACAGATGAATGGATAAAGAAGAGGTGGTATATATACACAATGGAACATTATGCAGCCATCAAAAGGAATGAGATCTTGCCATTTGCAACGACATGGATGGAACTGGAGGGTGTTATGCTGAGTGAAATAAGTCAAATCAGAGAAAGACATGTATCATATGACCTCACTGATATGGGGATTTTTTAATCTCAGAAAACAAACTGGGGGTTGCTGGAGTGGTGGGGGGTGGGAGGGTTGGGGTGGCTGGGTGATAGACCTTGGGGAGGGTATGTGCTATGGTGAGCGCTGTGAATTGTGCAAGACTGTTGAATCACAGATCTGTACTTCTGAAACAAATAATGCAACATATGTTAAGAAAAAAAAGAAGAAGATAGCAGGAGGGGAAGAATGAAGGGGAGTAAGTCGGAGGGGGAGACGAACCATGAGAGATGATGGACTCTGAAAAACAAACTGAGGGTTCTAGAGGGGAGGCGGGTGGGGGGATGGGTCAGCCTGGTGATGGGTATTAAAGAGGGCACGTTCTGCGTGGAGCACTGGGTGTTATGCACAAACAATGAATCATGGAACACTGCATCAAAAACTAGTGATGTAATGTATGGTGATTAACATAACAATAAAAAAATAAAAATAAATTAAAAAATAAAAAGGGCCTTACAGAGATACCTAGGGGGCTCAGTCACAGGCATCTGCCTTCAGCTCAGGTCATGATCCCAGGGTCCTGGGATCGAGTCCCACATTGGGCTCCTTGCTCAGTGGGGAGACTGTTTCTCCCTCTGCCTGCCGCTCCCCCTGCTTGTGCTCGCTCTCGCTCTCTCTCTCTCAAATAAATAAATAAAATCTTTTAAAAATAAAAATAAGGCCTTATATGTCAAAGTCACTATTCTAAGACTCCTTGAAGTAGACACTATCTTTATTCCACTTTACAGATGAAGAAACTGAGGTACAAAAACATTGATTTGCCTGAAGTCACCGCTGACCCGGAATTTGGTCAGTGCTCTGTCCACAACATGCAGCTTCTCCTTGGAAGACCAAGAAGCTGAGAGCTTTCTCCATATCCTGTCCAAGGTCCCACCTGAAGACCAAACCAATGCGCCCAGGAACCTCATCAGGCTTACGTCCCTTGGCCACCATTTTGCTCACTACTTTATGGAGCTGAAGGACCAACACCGCAGTGTGCATCTCTCTGCCATGAAGCCCTTGGAGAAAAGGCGTGGCCATAGACAACCAGTTTCTCCCAGTCTGCTCCTCTTCAGTCCAACTGACCTGAAGAAATCTGCTGCAGGTAAGATTAAGAGCCCCAGGCAGCTCTCCCTGCTCCCACCCTAGGCTCACTATCTTGGAGGTTCTACCTTAAACGAGGGGGTGAATTTAAGAACCTTAAAGAAGGAAGTAATGTTTCAGTTCTTTCACTCCAAAGTAAGTTAGGACGGCCTCCCAGAACGAACATGGCACCTAGCACACCATTTAACACGTCTCCTATTAGGAATGAAAAGTCTGCTCTCTACTCTCTGCCCCTCCAGTGACCTTCCATGTTGGTCCCAAACTCTGGAAAGATAAGCATCCTAGGCAGATGTCACCTCCATCACCCTGACCAGGGACTGGCCCTACCATCCTTCAGACAAATCAGCCCTTCTCGCCCTTTGTATTTAGAGATTATCAAGTTAAGACTCCCAGAAAGTCACCAACAAACATGCCCGATGGCTGCGATGGTGGGTTCACCTTCCTCACACCTCAGACAAAACTCCATTCTGCCCATGCATTGCCCTTACTGCTCACCAGAGGCTCCAATGAGCCCAGAGGCCTGGGACCAAATGGCCTTGGGGAGGGGGAGACAGGAATCAAGGAAAACAGTGCAGGAGGGAAGACTGGGAAAGAAAAGTCAAGAGGGGGCTGGAGGACGGTGGGGAAAATGATGGTAAAAGTGGCAGAAACGTATCTGGGGTTCAGAATGGACCACAAGCCTCCTATAAGCTAGAATATAGGCTGAGCTGATCCTTCTCAAACCCAGAGCTACCCCATCTTTCCCAGAGTCTCTGATTCTACCACTTTAGTAAAGAATAAAAGAAGGCAGAGAGAAGTTAACAGCAAGACCTAAGGAGGAGTTAGAGCACAAGACGAATGTCCCTCAAGAAAAGAAAGCTGAGAACAAAATCTTTGGAAGCCTTCACATGTATAATTGGCTTTTCCACAGAGGACATTCTAGCTGTTCTCTGCCACCACCAAGAACAGAAGAGGAAAGGGACCTGAGCTGTGGCAGAAGGAATTATGGTTAGACATGAATCACTTTCAGAGCATGAATATTATAAAGCCTGAAAATAAGTGACCAAAGGAGATTGAAAAATCCCCTTGACGATCTTAAATACACATAGAAAGTCACATTTTCTAAGATGGTTTATGAGTCTAGTGAGGGGGTTAGCCAAGATAACCTTGAAGGCCAGTTGGAACGCGAAGTTTCAGGGATTTCTCAAGCCAGCAAAAGTGATGATCTAACAGCCAGGGTGCTCGTAGCCCACAGAGCAGGAGCCCCAAATTCAGGCCAGATCCCAAATCCCATCAGCGCCTCCCAGGGGCCCCTCCTAGACACCCGCATAAAAGGAGGCCAAGCAATCTCAATCCCAAGAAGCTTCAAATGAGAAAAGGCACACTCAATTTCCCCCAAAACCTGAGGCAAACAGGCGGCCATGCCCCACCTCTCCCCCAGCGCTGGCGGGTTCTGGCCCAAGGCCCACGGCTACTCACCCGGCTGCCATCCCTTTCCATGGTCTCCGGGGGGGCGAAGCTTCCAGGCTCAGCTGATGTCCACAGGAAGATCCATGTTGGCCCCTGTCTTCCCCGGCATGTGGGGAGAAAGGGCCTGGAAGGCGGAGGGCCAGCCCCTACCAGATGGGGCGGGGAAGCGGGTTGGGACGTGTGAGGTAATCTCAAGTATCAACAACACCACAGAACTAGCCAGACCTGTCCCTCTCCCCTCCTCCGAGGCCATCCCCAGTTACTCAGCGAATACCAAATACCAAATGCCAAATACCGGGAGTATGAAGCTACCTTTACTCCGGAAACTGCCCCCACAGAGTCAGCTATGAGGAAACGAGGGGTTCCAGAATGCTTCTTTCGGAGGGGCATTTTGAGGGAAAAAGTCCAGGCCCTGTGAAGACAGTCTTAGGCCTGTCAACCTGAGCACCTAAAACAGATGTTCCCGGGCCCTCTGAGGCAGGACCCTGTTCCTAAAGGGAACGTCCAAGGCCAGGAACCAGAGCCCCAGCCAGGGCAGGACGGTGTCAACCTTCACCTCCGACGACCACGTGTCCAAATCCCAAACCAAGGCTCATGGCAAAATTTTCATTTTCTGAACTCTATTTCTATGAAAACCCTTGCCAAAGAAATTAAAATCAAACAACCTCTAATTATACCCATAATGAATTTCCTCTATGGAAAACAATAAAACGTTATGAAACAACACATCAAAAGCCAATTAGAATAAAACATAGAAGTATCTGAATGGAAACCGTTCTAAGAAATTGTGAGCTGACTCATGGTCCCCTAGCCAGGCCCCATTCTGATCCTCAGAGTCGGAAGAAACAGAGGAAGAGCCACCTCCCAAGGGGTGCTTAGCACCCCCAAACCCAGCAGAGCTGCTACTGAGGCGTATCAGGTGAGCTTTGGGAAGAACTTGCGTGACTGAGCATTTGGGGGCACGGAGGTCATAGAACGGCAGACTTTTTCCAGGTTGAAGGAAGCCCAGAAATCATCTAGTGCTTTGGTCCTCTCGTTTTACAGATGGAGAACCAGCCCGAGAGCCTGAGCATCCGCACACAAGTCACAGGGAACAAAGAGCAGCAACAACGGTGATAAGGTGCTGGGTCTCCTGCCAAATGCTTTACATATAGCAATGCATGTAATCTCCAGAGCAATGCTATTCATCCATCCTTCACTCATTCACCCAACGAGCATTCGTGTGCTTCTGATGTGCCTGGAGCTGCTCTAGGTGCTGGGGACACGGGGAACAAAGCAGACAAATACCCCTGCCCCATGGCACTAGCCTTGGGGTAGAGGCAGGGCAGACAAAAATAAACAGATAAATGATGATAGATAGATAGATAGATAGACAGACAGACAGACAGATATAATTGAACAGTATATGAGAAAGCGAGAAGTGCTGTTGAGTAAAAGCAGGCAAGGGGAGCAAGAAGGCTGGGAGCAGACTTACACTCTGAAACAGGGGGGTCAGGGAGCACTTCACTGGGGTGACCCTTGAGCAAAGACTTCAAGGAAGTGACCACTATCCTCCCCACTTACATGGTAGAAAACAGAAAGTTCTAACTCAGAATGGAAGCCTTCAGCTCCAGCTTCAGGTGTCTTGAGGGAAACTTAATCCCAAAGCGGAAGGATGGAGGAGAGAACTTTCGGGGGGCCCAGACAGGGACCCGGGGGTCCTCCAATCTTGAGTTATTTTCAGTGTCACATTCCTGGGACTCCAAGAGAGCAGGACTTAGCTGCAGACCACATGCCCTTCCTGCAGTCTTGACCAGCTTGCCACGGCACAGGGACCATTCCCACATGGTCATCCAGTCCTGAGGAGATGCCTCCTTTTCCCTCTCTCTGGGGGAGCACCCAGCCCCCACTCTGGCCACCAGAGAGCTATGAGGCTGTTGCTGAGCCTTGGCATTCATCACTCCATCCCCCAGGCAGACCACTGGGCCCCCAGAATCACCCTCCACCTTTTTCCCCCAAAGGTCCCACCAACCTCTGGGAAGAGCTCAGACTTGGGGTTCTGAGTCAATGGGAACAGATGAAAACCCCGACTCGGGGGTGAAGGCCAGTTCCATGAACTTGGAGGTCTTCAGATTGAACATCTGGAAAGGGGCAATTACACGTCAGACCAGAGAATGTGTCCAGCACCAGGTAGGCCCTGAAGAAATGTCAGTTTTCTTTCTCACTGTTTCATCAGAGACACAAGCTGGCCTGTCCCAGCATCCTTGCTGACCGAGCCACCGACCCATATGGAATCCCCACCATCCTCGGTTCAGTTCAACAAGCATTGGCTGCCCAGCACCAGGCCCCACAGCTGCTACTGGGCGAGGGGCGGCAAGCAACAGAAAGGCGGGGAGCCTGCGTTGGAAGAACTCACAGCGTATGTGTTCAGGCCGGGGCAGAGGTGAAACACTAAGGAATCAAATTCTTTGCTGACAATTTTACTTCCGGAGGGAAGGGGCTAAGGTGGCGCAAGCTCTGGACTCTTCCCCCAACAGAGCTGGCCTTGGAGGCCTGCCCCTGCCCTTGACTTTGGCACCTGAACTCGGCCAGGCTCTGCCCTCTCCTGCCTCCTTGGAAGGAAGGAAGGAGACACCTGTCTGCACCATCCCTGCCCCCTCCCTCTAGGTCCCTAGCCCACAACGACCCCACCCGGAGGCTAGCAGCAGCACCCCAGGCCCAGGTGTCCATTTACCCTACCTTTCCCCGACCACCAGTGGGGACCTCAGGCCGGCCACCAGGCCCATTCACAGCCGGTCACTTCCCACCTCCTGCTTATTTCCATCCGAGGTGGAGTTTTACAGAAAAAATGCATCTGCCGTGCACGGGCTTAAAGGCAGCCAGAGGGAGAGAGCAAGGAGCGACAGAAACCTCGCTCCTATTTTGAGTCTGAAGTCCCAGCTCTCTGCTGTCATGCCTGCTCCAGCTGCCACCACCAACTCCTTCCTGGGGCTCCAGATGGAAACAGGGTTCTTGCCCATCCCATTCCCACCACCTTGTCATCTAAGCTTCTCTTTCCTGAGTCCTCCTTCATCACCTTCGCGCCCAGATCACCTCCTGAGCTCCCTCCGTGGAACCCCTGAGGACCCTTCCCCCCACTTTGCACCCCACTTCCGAGCTTCTCCGTCACTCAGAGCACACCAGAGGGGCTTCCCTCTGGGCCTGAGGGGGCCAGACACAGACCACACACTCAGAGGCCAGGCAGGGCCGAGAGGAGATGCTGAGCCCACCCTCAAGGGGAGAGTCCGCAGGAGAAAGCCCCTGAGCCAGAGCCTGTCTTCCCCGCCCCTTCGGCGTCGTGCCCTCTCTGAACGCAGAGCGACCTGGCCACTGCCAGGGACCCACACCAGGCGTCTGTCAGTGTACTCCTGGAAATCGTAACCGGGGGCCAGGTAGGGTGGGGGTAGCTTTTCTTTTTTCAAGCCAAGAAAAATAGTCCATAAGACTAAACCAAGTCCTTGGTCTCCAGCTAGCCTCTCGGCCAACCCTAAGGAAGGCTTACAGGGGCCTCTGCTGGTGAGGCAACTCTGTGGCTCCCTATTTTCAGCAGATATTGGGCCTCTCATCTGGGTGATGGGGACAGGAGAGGGAGGAAGGACAGGCACAGCCAGGAGGGGAAGCCAGAAAGTCAACATGGGCAGGAAGCCTGAGGCTCGCCAAAGGACCCCTTAATGACCCCCACCCCAGCGGGTCTGCACCTCAGAGAGCCTAGAACCGGAAACCCAGGAGTCAGGGTTTCTCTTAGTCGTGGGCTTTACTGCCCCTTGTGTCTTGTTGGGGACCAGCAGGGGACAGAGAGGAGCAAAGCCCTGCCCTTCTCCCTGTAATCGTCATTGTGCTTATGGCATCATCCCAAATCCATGACTAGATGGGATAAACGAGGTTAGAAGCCTCTGGCAGAACCACTGGCACCCTCAGCACACGCTGGGCGACCCCGCTTCCGCACCGGTGAACAGTGGGCAGTGGGCCCTGGGCCAGTGCCACGACTGCGTCCTCCCGGGTGGCCCCTCTGGGACACCCTGACCTGGTAGCTGCCCAGCTGTCTGCAGACGGCTCCCAGGAGTGGGAAATACCACCATCTGGGGCTGGTTCTGCCTATTTAGATGCCACCTGTTTCCAAGGAAGGATTTGACACAGCTGGTCTTCCTCGTGATTCGCCCACACCCATTTCTCTGTGGGTCCCAGTTCCCCTCCTTGGGGACGTCTGCAAACGTCAAATCCCACTTCCTCGTGACCACCTTCTCTCACTCGAGGGCGACAGTTCAGTGAGCCTGCGAGTCTGCTCTCTTTCACCTGAACACACCCCCTTCTTCACTTGCTCCTGGTGTGAGGTGATTTCAAGTCCCCTCACCCCCGTGGATTGCTCCAAGACCAGCGCCCACAGACCCTGGGACCCTCCTGAAGTGTGGGCTCAGAGCTGGGACCCCCACAGCCATATTTACACAGGCTCCTCCTTCAGATAAAACCAACCAGTCGTTCTCTGGAACGACCCATTGGGCTGCTCCTATTTCCACAGAACTGGAGCCGTTGCAGACAGACCAGCAATGCTGACAGCCATGCGGGGCTCAAGCTCAGTAGAGGCAAACACGAACCCACCTGCACACAGCTGGAGTCAAACGTTCACAGAATAAGTGAGGATGAACCAGAAGCACACTAGAGTGAGCCATGAGACTCCCACATTCGGACAGGAATGTCTTTACTCCTTTCTGATCCATCTGAGAAAGGCTTTCTGGAGGAGAGGATGAGATTCCAGAAGGTTCTAGAAAGACAGGCAGTAAGACAGCCTGGCATTGTGGGGCTGTCACGGGGAACTTGATAGGCCTGGAAGGAAAGGAACATTCAGAGCAGTGGGTGTTGAGTGGTCTGTGGAGGGGACTTTGAGGTCAGATAGTCATGGAATCACTCCAGGTACATACGTTAGGATATGTCTTTGGGCAAATTACTATCTTAGCACCCCAGCTTCCTCATCCGTGAAATGGGGATAATTGTTCCTCTCAAATAAAGTATTTATGTCCATTCAGTGACATCGTTTGTATAAAACATTCGGCACAGGACCTGGTACATAGTGCCCACCAATAGTAGCCATTATGATATGATTATAATTTCTAAGTTTGATTGAACAACAAAT